CAAAGCAAAACCAGCCGATCTCGACTCGAAACAAACCAAACTAGTGTTTGGCGGTTCTAATTCTACTCTTTCCACTTTTGTATATTCACAGGAAAGATTTCGTGATGGAATGGCTGCATACGTGGCTGCAGTAGAGATGCCGCTTACGATGATAGACTCAATACACTTTACCCGACTCGTGCAGAAATATCTCCAACCGAGGTATTCTTCTTATTCTAGAAATACTCTTCGTTCAGATAGCATAAAATTATATAACAGAAGAAAACAAATTACTATTGAAGTCTAAAAAGTTTTAATAGTGTTATATCGTTTACTTCTGATTTATGGACTGGTTGTAATAGAAAAGGTTATATTGCTGCTACGGCTCATTATATTGATCACCTGTGGCGTCTACATAAAAGAATTATTGCATTCAGATGTGTAGAATTTCCTCATAATGCCACTAATATATACATGGTTTTAAAAGATATCATACAGGAATATGGTATACAAGATATGGTTCGAAGTTTTACTTTTGATAATGCTGCAGTGAACAAAGTTATTATTCAAAGATTTATTGCTGATCTTAATCCCGTATTTGGAAATTTATTTTTTCATCAACGTTGCGTATGTCATATTATTAATTTGATTGTAAAAGCTGGATTAGAACATATAAGTTCACCTTTAGATAAAATTAGACAAGCAATAAATTTTATTACTGTATCACCAGCAAGAAAACAAGCATTTAATAGTTTGTGTGCAGAGTATGGATTACAGGAGAAATCATTTGCCACTGATGTAACACACAGGTGGAACTCTACATATCTTATGTTACATTCGTGTGAAAATTACGATAAAGTGATTTCACTATATTATAATGGTAGGCATACACTCGGACCTGAACATAATTTGAAAGATTGGGAATGGACTATTGCATTTTACGTGAAAAAATTCTTACAACCTTTTTTCGATGCAACAAAGGAATGTAGCGGTGTTTATTACCCTACATCTTCTCTTGTTTTACAACATTTTTTCTACATTTCACAAGCATTTCATAAATATAGGAATTTGCCACTTTTTGCTGATGTAGTCCGCTCTATGGAGTTAAAATTTTGTAAATACTGGGAAGAGTTGCCTTCTTTATTTCTTTTAGCTTCAGTAATGGACCCTCGACTTAATTTAACTGGCACAAAAACTACTGTAAAGGGGATATCAGATTTTTTGAATATAGAATTATCACACGTGCATATAGAATCTTTTTTATGTGAAATGTATAATTATTATGCTGAAAAGGAAGGTCAGCGTAGTTCTATTTCCCAAAGTTCTTTTTCAAGAAATATTACAACAAATCCCGAAACTTTATGGAATTATTTAGATAGCAATACAAGTGCTCCTTCATTTAGTTCTAGTTCTAGCTCATCAATATCTAGAGCGATCAATATTGGTGGTACAAATCTTGAAATTCCTTCTGAGTTAGCTAGGTATATGTGCGTGGATGTTCGTAGTGTGTTGCAACCGTACGAATTACAAGAATTTAGTCTTTTAAATTGGTGGAGATGTAACGAAAGGCAATATCCAATTGTATCAAAAATTGCACGTGATCTACTAACACCTCCGGTGTCTACGGTAGCATCGGAGGCTGCATTCAGTTTAGGTGGTCGAATTTTATCAGATGAACGATCAAGACTAAAAGAAGATATATTGGAGGCTTTGATATGTTTGAAGGATTGGGAATGTGCAGAATTACGTGTTCAAGAATATGTTGATAGTATAATGGTCGAAGAGTTGCAGCATATCCAAACATAGGATGTTGTAAGTTTTTAAATTAATTATTTTTCTTTAAGAAATGTATTTTTTAAATTTATTTGATTCAAAAAAATTGTACACGAAATATTTTATTCGTGTACAATTTTAACTCCACCTACGTTGATTGTAGCCGGTTCCAATCCCGAAAAAAGGAGGAGGGTTGTAATTTGTAACTTTTATTTATTTTGTTATTCGTATAAATTACATAATTTTGAAAGTTGTACTTTTATTTAATTTGTAATTTGTATAAATAATAAATGATGCAATTTTTAAATTCTTTCAAAAAAATGTCATTCAACAATTTGCACCACAACAATTAGCATGTATAAAAAATGTCATTAAAAATTGCAAAAAAAAAAAAAAAAAAAACCGAGCCGACTAGGCTCGTAAAAAGCCCGAGCCTTATTTTTTTGGGCGAGCTTTGGTCGGCTCGGCTTGGGCCCAAAAAAAGCCCGTTGTGATTTACTCGAGCCGAGCCCAAGAATTTGATTATTTACAATTTGGCCCAAAATTTTAAATAAATTTTGTCCAAAAAGTTAATATAGTGCAAAGGTCCACTCACACCCGAACCGGACCGAACTCGGACACGGGCACGTGCCGTGCCGTCCGGTCGGACAGCGACGGCGTGCACGTGTGGGTTTATGACCGAACCCAATAGGATATAGGTCTTCCCCCTTCCAAAGACTATTGATACCCTTTGGGGCCCAAACCCAATTCCAAACTTCCACCTTATAAATCACATCAAAGTTTCCTAACTTTCCTATGCGGGATAAATGTTTGGAAAATCAAATTCTTCCATAATATTTAGTTTATGTGGGTTACTTTAACACTTAATATTCCATTCAATTTTAAATGATTTTCGATAAATAAATATATCACGTTAATCATCTCGCGGAGTGGAACGTGAATATGCCAGGTCTCGTATTAATTAAAAGGTGGGTCCCACTAAAATTTGGGCTCAAAACTGACTCATTTCATAACCATTTTTTTCCAACACAGGCAACATGTCCTGAAATTGTAGAGGCAGAACAATGCGTTTGGATTTAGGAGCAAAGTTTTTGGGTTTTTATGTTGATGTGTTGTGATGTGGGTTTTTGATAGAAAATAGGGCTTCAGTAGTCTTGTTCTTTTGTGTAATGGAATGGATGTTAGTAAATGTTGTGATTTTCATTAGATGTTTTGTAACGACTTTGATTTTCTAAGTACCTAGCTTACAATGAAATGTTCCAATTTCCTATTTTTCCTGTTTATTTTTCTGGTTGGTCATGTGTATTGAGGAATACAATTGTGATGTTTGTGTGAAAAACCTATGGGAAAAGTTTCGTGAAATAATATTGAAAAGGTGAAACATTATGCAATACAATCTTGCATATGGTAAACGTTGCACATTGCAACCTTGTAATTCTTAAAGTTTGTGCAAAATTTTTCTAGAATTACGAAGCTTGTGCAAACCAACCTTCACTAATGAATCAGTTCAACTCGTACAAAGAAAAACGATGACCCGAAAAAATAAGAAAACATCATCAACATAAGTAGGCCATCAAAAACAAAGGTTTAGATTGCAAAGACATCATCATTCTTATTACATAATTCCTCAAAATGGGGGGGAAAAAAATACATGGCAAAGCAATAATTGTTTGTCAATTTGCAGCTGGAGGTTCGTGACCTCTACACCTTCTTTTGTCGTGCCCAACCTCACCACACAGTCCACACCTCATTATTAATCCTTTCCTTCACGAACCTCCAACAGTAGAGGTCGTGGTGTTGGATCGATATTGTTGCCCCAATAAGCCTTCTTCCAATATAGTCCATATTTGAGTCACATTCTTTAAAAAATCATATTTTTAAACTCATTTTCAATCGCACATTCTCTTAACAATATATATTTACACATAAATTTAAAAAAAAAATCTTACTTTTTAACCACATATTGTTTAAAAAATCTCTATTACAAAATCTAGTATTCCTAAAATTGGGGCTCAACATACACTTATAATCACTTACGAGACGCGCTTTTTCAATATGTGATCCCTTTTATTATTCACTGAATGAACGTTTCAAAAATTGACAAAATTGCTAATATGGCTCGTAGAATCACTTATGAGATGAGCTTTTTCGATTAGTGGGTGCCAGATAATAAAGTTGCTACAGACGTGGATTAAGTGAGTTTTAAATTCATGGATGGGATTGCTCGTGAATTTTGAAGTGGTCGAATTTTAGCGACTAAACTTGTAAAAATGACGTCGGTTGGTTGTTCGTTAAAAAACGTGTATAGCAATCGCACAAATCGCGTAAAAATAATAAAGTGGACAAACGAAGTTGATTACTCCATTACACTATAGTAAAATTTAATTTTAACATATTTTTGTAAAACTTTAAGTTATTTTCATCTTTTGAAAATTTTAAATTTTCTTGTGTGTTTCGTTGTTAAAATTAAATTAAATTAATCTTTGAATTTTGCAACGAAACAAACAAGAAATTTAATTAAGTTAATTTAATTTAGTTTTAACAACGAACAAACAATAAATTTGAATTTTTCAAATAATAAAAATAGTCTAAAATTCTACCAAAATATGTTAAAATTAAATTTAACTATTGTTTAATTGAGTAATAATTTCTCTTAAAATCGATAACTCGAACTTGTTTGTCCATTTCATTAGTTGTATGCCAACCCCATACGATTGTTGTACACATTTTTTAAGGAACAACATGCCGACTTCATTTTTATAAGTTCAGTGGCCAAAAGTCGACCACTTCAAATTTCAAAGAATAATCGAAAACGTTTTTCAAAATTTAGTAAGCAATTGGAAATATAGCAATTTGATAGTAGTGTGATTGAATGTCACATGGGGCATTTCGTAAGCCACATCGCTAATTCAGTTAAAAATTTGAAACTGATATTAAGGCAATTAGTAACGTTCAATGTTTAGATAAATTTAATGATCAAAACTCGACATCTTAAATTTTAATAAACAATCAAAAACACTGACATAAGTTCAATGACCATGGGACAATTAACTCGTCCAACAATCATTGGTAAAACAGGGTCCGTCTCATTTCATTAGTCACGTACTAGAATGCTCCTCTCTCACGAGTGAGAGTAGAATTCCACAATATATTTGGTCCACGAATTCAATGATACAGCGAAATCTAGCTGGCCCAACTGAGGCCCAAGATGTTCCAGGATTTTCGCCCGTTTAATCATCACTGTCTCCGCATTGGCTTAATGGTTGAATGCGTGCGAATTCGAATTTCCAGTCTTGAATATAATCATCCAACATATTCCCCAAACCCCACAAATCTCTTCTTTTTTGGAGAGAAGACGAAAAGAGAGAGATCTGTCTTTCTCCTTGAACTCAGAAAACTGCTCTCTCTGTCTATTTCGTCTTCGCAGCTGACAAGCTATGGGTATCTTGGAAGCATTTCTTAATTGGCTTCGAAGGTTTGCTTCCATGATTCTTACAATAGTGACCTTTGCATAGTTAAATCTCTCAAGCGTTCAACTCTGTAATTGTTTCCATGCAGTGAATTGTAGGTTAAGAAACGGGTAATCTACGACAAAAGAATTTTTAGGTTAATTTGCATTTTGAACATTATAAAAGTTTGTTATTTTACATTGAGGAATTTATTTCTAGCTGAGATCTAATTTTTCTTAATTGTTTGATGTTTTTTCTTCCCATTTCCCTCAGGAATTTTGTTTTCGAATTTGTTTGTGACGTTCTTTGGGAATTTAGTGTAAGTAGCTTTGTGTTGTCTGCTCTTATCTTATGTGAATTGTTAGGATTAATTGAAAACTTCCCGTTTTTATTTCTGTCTCTAGATAATCTTGGAATTCAGGATGTGACAAGCATTTAACCCTGTTTTGGGATTATTATCTTGTGCTTCTTCTTTTTTTCTTTTTTTTTTTTTTTTGCGCCCCTTCTTTTTTTCTTTTTGAAATATACTGCAAATCAGTATTGGTATAATTACAAAAGCAACATGTGTCTACTAAGCAATTTTGTTTTGTAAATTGTGTCTAATCCAGTGAAAATAGTATTATAACTTAAACAGATACTCTTGAATGGGACTTGAGTCAGTGCTTATGACTAATGGTGTTTTCTTGTGGCCGTGTTACAAATAAATTTAAAAAAAGTCCTGAATTTGCCTTTCGTGTTAACCATTATTACTCAAGCCATGTTAATTTCTTCATCTTTATTTCTTTTGGTTATTCTTCTTTGCAAATAATTTCACATTTGATATGGACTTTTGAGCCATGTTCTTACGATTTTCTTGTTTCCTAATAGCTCGGTGATTCCCTCTCATATTAAAAAATAAAAAAATAATGCTAGAATTATGCATGCTATTGTAGATCATGATCATCCACCATTCAATTCATGATGGATTACATTATCATTGAGTTGGAAAATGCTTCCATTACCAGCATTAGAATGAAGTGGAATATCCAATTTCCACTGCTCTAGTTTTCTTAACATCGGTTTAGTCACGGCCTACCGCTAAATTAACCAGGCCATACAGGGTTGTGGTAGGTCCAAAAGTAAGATAACAAAGTTCAATAGAAAATTACATAAAAACTGAGAAAAGGAGTTGCAAACCAGTTGACTTTACTAGTCAGTCTTTGTATGCTTCATTTTTATGCTTTTCAAACCTAAGTTCTTTAAAAAAAAAACGTTGTGTGGTATTACAATTCACAATTAATGCTATGTCTGGGAATCTAATTACTAGTTAGCCATATATCATTTTGTAGCAAACTGATGATGTTAACTGCTATTTAGTTGAAAGCATTGAAGTAGGATTACCAACTAATCATCTGTTTAATACAATTATGTTACTAAAAATTTGCAAATTAATAAATGGTAAGGAACTGAGTATCGGTGTTCATATTGATGGCCTCACTAACTTATTTATAACGTCCGATCTCTGTGCCCAAGCCATTAACTTACATACTATCCACTTTGGTTGGACATCTGTCCACTGATCGCCTTACAGATTTCTATCGCGTTCTCAGGATTTGAACTGTGTATTTTTCCTTAAATAAGACTTAAGTTGAATTCTGATACCAATTGGACGTAAACTAACGGCTTAGGCACAAAGGTCGGGTCATTACAAAAAAATGCTCATTTTTTTTTTGTAACGACCTAGGCCTTGTGCCAAAACCATTCTCTTACGTATTGTCCGCTTTAAGAGAGTATCTGCCTCTCATCCATTATGCCTTTATTCATGTTCCCCGGAATTTGAATACTTGACCTCCCCTTAAGAGACTTAAAATTGAGTCCTAGTACCAAATAGGATAACGACCTGGTCACTACGCCTAAGTCGTTAACTTACATACTGTTCATTCTGGGATAACCTAAATCTATCTTACCCCTCACTATTTTCTATCACGTCCTCAGGATTCGAACCCCTTTTCCTTGTGTAACATTTAAGTTGAATCCTTATACCAATTTCGTAACTACTTGAGCCCAAGCCATTAACTTACGTACTATTTTCTTTGGATGAGCATTTGCTCAGTTACCCCTCACGAATTTCTATCGTGTTTCTAGGATTCGAACTGAAGACCTCTATCGAATGAGAGATTTAAGTAGAATATTGATATCAATTTAACAAGGATGGTATGTAAATTAACGTCTTGAGCACAATGCTCGAATCATTTCAAAAAAATGCGCGTTTATTTGTAACAATCCAGTCTCTGTGCTCAAACCATTGATTTATATACTGTCTGATATGGAAGAGCTTGAGTCCATCTTACTCCTTACGGATTTCTTTCATGTCCCCAGCATTCAAACTCATGACATTTCTCTTAAGTAAAACTTACGTTTGATCCTAATACCAATTGGATTTTCAATGAAAACTGAGAATAAGAGTATGAGGAAGAGTAGTAGTAAAGGGAAGGAGTGGAAAAATTCCTGTAGCACGGACACTCTAACTAGGATGGCATGTCTGTGTCCGATACTTATCAAACACATGACGATATTGACACTCTTCGAACACTCTACAATAATTTTACTGCATTTTTTTCCTTCCCTTGGTATATTAAATTATTTTACAATGTGACTTGACTAACAATATTGTTTATGTGGTTACAGCCTCTTTTTCAAGCAGGAAATGGAGCTATCTTTGATAGGTCTTCAAAATGCTGGAAAAACTTCACTTGTAAATGTTATCGCTGTAAGTTAATAGATCTTAGTCATCTGGTCGTGCAGACTCGCAGAGCTATCGACTTATATATATTAGTTGTGATAGGTCAAAGCATTAAGTGTTTCCTTTATTGCTTTATTTCTGAGACTGGTGGATATAGTGAAGACATGATCCCTACGGTTAGTTCTCTTTAAATGCCCGTAACAGATTTGATTTGCTGATCGTTGATTTCTTTCATGTCTGTGGTGATATGATAATATTTTATTATGTTTCAGGTAGGATTTAATATGCGTAAAGTGACTAAAGGAAATGTCACGATAAAATTGTGGGATCTTGGTGGTCAACCCAGATTTCGGAGTATGTGGGAGCGATACTGCCGTGCAGTTTCCGCTATTGTGTATGCAAGTTCTCTCCACCATCCATATAATTTGTTACAAATGATTGTTGGTTCCATGGCACTAAAAGAAGTCAAATCTTAAAATCAGGATGTGTCTAAATTATGTAAATCCAGTCATTCAAGGCCATCTGCTGTGAAACTTAATATAATCTGACAACATTTTATCACTTTATTGATGACATATTGTATTATACTACTATCGTACTGGTTTTACTGTAAAGAGTCACAACCTGAAAGTACACATGTACGTTCTAATTCAGGAAATGATTATCTGAAGAATGCCAGGATCCCATTCATTTAACTTCACCTCTAGCTCTAATTACAACCAAGCTTGATGTTTTCATTAAAACTATGCGTCCACGTGAAATTTTAAGATTTTAATTGCTTGATATTATTTTAAGTCATTTCTAAGTTTCGTCTGCAGTTATGTTGTTGATGCTGCTGATCATGATAACATCAGTATCTCAAAAAGTGAACTGCATGACCTGCTGAGCAAACCAGCACTCGGTGGTATTCCTTTGCTGGTTCTAGGAAACAAGATTGACAAGCCTCAAGCCCTGTCCAAGCAGGGTTTGAGCGATCAAATGTAAGTAGAGACAGAACTGAATGGGCCCCATTCATGTGTGTTTTCCTCTGTGTCTATGTGGGTTCGGGTGGCGATATTCTTGTGTGTGTTGCCTGACTGTTCAGGTTTGTGTTTGCTGGTTTATGGATTTCATAACTTATAATGACATGTTCTGCAGGGATTTAAAATCTATTCCAGATAGAGAGGTTTGCTGCTATATGATCTCATGTAAGAACTCAACCAACATTGACCAGGTCATTGATTGGCTAGTTAAGCATTCTAAATCCAAGAGCTGAGTATAAGGAGCTATTCATGTAATTTAATTTGTGTTCGAATTCTCAAGAGATGGATTTCAGATTGTTGTTGATAACAATTCACATTCATCTTTTGGGCTGATTTTCTTGCTGCCTTATTTAATCTGTTGTGATTTGTTTCTCTTCTTCTTGTTTATTTTTTGGTTAGGTTGAGAGAAGTTTCAATGGCTTTTGCAATTGATTTGGTGTGTTGTGGACGGACTAGAGAAATATTTATTTCATTTTTCCTTTTTCTTCTGTTTTGGAATGCTTTTATAGTTTGTTTTTCATCTTTTCTCCTTGTCAGTTTCCTTCTGTGCATCCGAAATTTGCATTTTTCATCCTCACAAAAAAAAAAATAATAATAATAATAATAAATAAATAGAAATCCACCAAAAAGGAAAAAAAACAAAAAGCAGAAATTGACCAGACTTGGATGATGAAATCGTGTTCTGCTAGAGTACATTTGTATTAATAATAGTATTATCCTAATAATGATTAGGGAACATAGATAGAGTTTATACTTGAAGGCAAAAAGTTTACTTGTAAGTAAAAAATCATTTATAAGACAAAAATTCACTTCTGTGCTAAAAATTGCTTATAAATGAAAAATAGTAAAATACTACTTATAGGTAAAAAAAATAAAAAAAATAGTTATAACTAATAGAATTCACTTATAAGTAAATAAAATGAAATATCAATTATAGTATAGAAAATTACTTCATAAGTAAAAATAAATACTCATAAAATAAAAAATTATTTATCAGTTAAAAGAATTACTCAAGTATAATAAAAATCACTTTTAAAGTGAAAAATTCACTTAAAAATAAAAACTTATAAGTTAAAAAAAAAAAATTGTACAAGTAAATTTGAAGTAAAAAATCACTTAATATATTAAAAAAACTGTCTTATCATTTTCATTCTTGTATAATTTTGTTTACTGAAATAATGAAACAATATCAATTCTCAATATTTAAAGGTTTTGAATCTTTTTAAGTTGTTTCCTAGCTTGTTGGGGCACATCCCGCAATTTACCTTCATCACAATGCTCTAGGGACGGGGTAGTAGGGGTTCTCAAGTTTGGGTTTCAACCTTTTTTACTAATTTGATTAAGTTCATATCATTTCACCTGATTGATATGCAATAGGGCACACAGATCAATAACTGAAAGAAGTGCAAAGATGTTCACAGATAAAACTTGGCAGTGTCTCCTAAACATATAAAACTTGGCCTCTCAGCTCAGGACCCCTTTTTGAGACTAGGTAGAGAACTTGCCTTGAAAGTTAAGCTAATTACTCGTATCCTTATCTTTGAACGTTATCACCATTGTAAATATGCACAATAAACGTGTTTCAGGCAATTAGAGAACGTATGTTACCTTCTGGAATTTTGATGGGCAAATCCAATACATCCTTACACGATGAGAAATGTAGTGAAATATTTTAACGCGGAACACCTGCCACTCTTTCTCTCGACAAGACTATAATTTGAACTCGCTAAACGATTTGTTGAAGGGATGAGCACCGGCCATGTTGTGTCATGGTAAAGTACTATTCAGCCAAATACCACTCCTATCAGGTAGTAGCTTCTTCATATAATATTTAGATTTACGAGATAGATTGATCTTCTTCCTCCTCACCTCAGGAATGCATTCAATGGAACACTCAGAAAACCCACGCCTTACGAACCTGTCAAATGAGACCACCATTCGTTATCAGCATGGAAAAGTGCATAACCGATGGCCACAAAACTAATCCATGTTTCATTAGGTGACACGTAAAGCATTAGTAAATTAATGGAATAGGTAATCAAGAAAATAGAAGGATGCAGAAGATAAGATAAGAATAAAGTATATTACTAACAAGTGTAAACAAGGTTTCCTTTCAGCCTCTTAACTCCGGAAATTACTTCAAACATCTTTCTTTTCGAAGGAGGATGGATATTATTCTTACAAATAAATTAATCATTTGTGCCGATTTCCTGCCATGCTATCCACTTAGGCAATCAATTTCGTTAGAAACCAGCACTTATTATCGGTTGATTATCCAAGGGAAGCCATAAGCTTTCAGGAAAACTACAGGCAATTCGTTATAGAAGCCAAAATCTGCCTTTCCGCTAGGTGGATTCAAGTGCAGGAAATAAGATGTCATTATTCCAATTTTACTGCAGGCAGCACATATTATGTCGTAACAATTGGAATAGAAATAAATACCAATCTGCTGTGCGAGTTGTCAGTAAGAAAAGCATTTGCAATCCAAGGGAAGATGCCTTCTTTTCGATGTAATCTGCATTCATTTCGACATTAAAGAAGGTTATATTGGCACATACGAAGGTCATATAACTTTAGAACACTACATCCAAACACATGCACATCCCTTCCTGAATTTTCATCCATTCTTGCAGGTACGGAGTACGAAAGGGGTGTTGTCATAAAATGGCAATAAACTGTCTCAAGCATCTTGATTATGATGTTTATTCTAAGGACAAGCGTGAAAAGACAAAAGTAAAATGCACAGGGTACCCTGCCTATTATGAGAAGCAGGTTATCTGGATTAATAAAATATATGTTCTTTCACAGCTCTTACTAAACAAAAATATGAATAACGTAACGTCTTCATACCAAGTAACTTGTCTCCCTGTCCTTGGCCTCGACAATCAGGAGAAACAGCAATAGCAGCAACCTCCCCGCTCTTCTCTTCAAAGAAAGGTAAAAGGGCAGCACAAGCTATGATTTGACCTTCCCTTTCGACAACTATGAATGAATCCAATGCCTCAAGTAGCTTCAGCATAAATAAGCACTCATAGTCAATGGACAAACAAAAGATGATTAATAATTTTGCAAGCACAATGTAGAGCATGAGAGTGAACCTCTTTCTCAGTCCTCCTAATCAAAGTGCCAGACTCTTCTAAAGGTTGCAAAAGTCGTTTTATTCCTGAAATATCTGTGACTTTGGCCATTCGGGTTCCTTCATAAAGATCACTGAGGATGGATTAAATTCACATGTTAGTTAGCAGATCTTCGACAAGAAGTTTATAGCCCTCGTCTATAGTGGAAGGAAGTGAGAGGGAGGGGTGGAAGTTTTGTTTCTAATCATTCAACAGGCCTAAATAAGGCAGACTTGTCATAAAGTAATTGAAGTAGTCAACAGAATTCACCCTCAATATTTGTTACGGATTTACTCTGTGACCTCATATATGTGGAAAGGAGTGAGAGGAAGGGGTGGGAGTTCTGTTCCTAATCAACATATTAACGTCAAGAGATTTTCAGTGTAAGAAATTCTGTCTGCCACATAAAAAAAGTGATGTTAAGTTTTGTCATGGAATCATTTCATTGTTAACTTGAAACGGATTGAAACTTCAGTGATGAGTTTGAACAAGTGAGCAACTAAAATGAAATTTATCTTGAAGTTTGGTAACATCTGGGTTTTTTACTTGTAAAGAAAAAGTTCTCCATAGAAGCTCACATACCTAGCCACCATTGTACCAACCCCATCTCTTTGAAACAATTCCTTCAGTAAAACTCCACCAACAGTGCCATCCAAAAGATGAACTCTTTGGACACCTACCTGATGATAAGTTAAATAACCAATTCGGAAAGTTACTCAGTTAAAGTCTAATTGAATAATAGAAGATAAAAAAATAAAAAATAAAGAGCGTGCTAAGTTTCTGCTCTAATAATTAAGAGGGGATAGAGGATCGAAAAGGCTCAACAAATTACATGTACATCCAAGCCCAAATGGGACTTGAACCTAGCACCTCAAATTTGAATGGCAAGAAAAAGAATCAAGTTATCGTACAAATACGAGTAAAAACATTGAAAGTCATATACATGGAATGATTTTTTCAGAACACTACTCATCTTCCCCCCACATTGGTATGTGTCAAGCATTTCTTGACAAATAAAATAATTCAGCACCAATAGAGCAACTACAATGTCTGGCAATAACAAATCAAACGGCCAAAAAGGCACTCACTCAGAAACAAGGACATATTGTCTAGTTTAGTTGTTTTAACCAAACCATGGACTACCATATAAGTTGATTATGTCATTGATGACTGGAACTTACTCTGCAAACAAAAGCAGCAGCAGCTAATTCTGAAAGGTAACCATTTAATCTACTCAGCCTTTCTTGACCTCCAATGGCAAAACCTTGTTCACTGGACCAAAGTCCATTGCCATTGTCAAAACCAACTCCATTCTGAAATATTGGAGTATAACTCTTAGTAAAAGACTCCTCTTTTTGCGATGGGACTTTTCCATTTGAGGTAATATATCCTAGACCACTAAAATCTTCCTGGTCAACTGCCTTAACATAATTAGCGGCTGTCTCACTTTGCTTAGCTCGCTTTCGAATTAACATGTCTGCATCTTGAAGAGTTAAGAAACGAATAAGACGCCCACATTCGTCCAGAATTGGTCCATCTATGATGCAAATAAGTTTCTCAGCTCTAAGCGCCATTGCACAAGCTGTAGCAACTTCGTACGTGCTGCAGCAAGAGAAGCATAAAAGATTAATTTCCAAGACAACCACCAACAGAAATCACCTTATGAAGCACAAATAGTAAAATATTTAATCCAATATGTGACAAGAACAAAAAAAAATACAAAAGTCAAAGCACCTAGAAGATTTTTAGTAACATAAAGTAACTTGGTCGTGTGTCAATGAAATTTGTAGACTGACATATTTTTTCTTAAAGGAATAAACACCTAGTTGCATGAATTTCATGACCAAGTAACCCAGATGGAAACATAAAGTTATCTCTCTCCATAATACAGAGTTTTAAGAACGTTGCAACATACACTGTATGAATTTAAATGTCGAGTAAACTCAAACGTAACACTTGCATGAAAACACTATGCCAGTGGCAACAAAAATACCTATCAAAGGCCATAAAGCATACTTGCAGTTTAATACTTCTCCAGAACTTGAATAACCAAGATTGCTAAGAAGCACTATACAATCTTGATCTAGCCTCTCACGAATGCGAGAAACGTCTATTTTCTTAACTTCACCAGTTGACACATAATGAATGCCATCAACAACACCTCTTCTCTGCCAAAAGGGACAGAAATACAAGCCATTTTCATTTGCATATAAAATCTTGGTGTCAGAATAAATAAGCGAATAAGTGCATTCTCACCTTAGCTGCTAGGAAATTACCACTAGCAACACTAACACCATCATATAACCGACTATAGTCTCCATGTCGACGGACACCACTTAAGGAAGGTCCAGGCGATAACTTTGCCTCGATCATAATTCTAATTCTCCCGGCTGCATCCATTGCAGCCTTGAGAGAATCAGAGTCTGTGATTCTATAGCGACCATCATATTTGGGCTCACGGCCTGTAAGTAAAGCACAATGAATTTCTTGCTATCTGCTGAGAAATCTATATGTAACAGTGGATCAGTGAAAACATTTTCAAGGCAGTGATAGGTGAACACCAAAAATGTGGTAATACCTTCACACTAATTTAATGATGTTATAAAATCATTGGTGACACATTAAAATGCATACTTTGCAGTTGGCAAGGTATTTGCTTACCTCTTTCAGACAAAATTTTATCAATTTGGACATGGGTCCCTGGAACTAAAACAAACTTGATACCCAGTCCATGAAGCAAAGAAATATCCTGTCCAAAGTATTCGTTCGATTAGACGACCTATCCAAAGTTCAATAAATATCAAGTAAAAGGGAACGCACATTTCAAGATATGAGAAAACAGAGAGGAAATATAGAAATCTACTATGAAGCAAATCAAATAGTTTCTACAATGCCCCCAAAATTCAATCGTTTAGATTTTGCTGCTAATACAAGTAATATATTTCGAGGAACCTGAGAAATAGTAACTTAAAGACTTAAACACTACGTGCCATGAGAATGGGATCCAAATGAGGGCTATCAACTATTTCAGCAGAAATTAGAAGAACGAAGGTGCTGTTCCTGTGTGCCAGAAAATACGGCCATGATTCGCGAAAGAAGCTCACGAACAATTCGTCTTTAACAACACTGCTGGCTTCAATTCCCCCGCTCTCTGCTTCCCCCATTACCTTTAGTTTCTTCCCGCAATCATTAAAACTACACTCCAAGGATGACGAGAGCTTTATCGGTCGAATTCCATTAATTTTTTTTGTGAATCGACTAATTTTTGGTTTCGTAATTGAGCTGGGAGAGAAATTTGGTTTTCGATAGCAGCTTTGGTGGTTTTGGATTGGCAAGCAAGAGCTGGGAGATGAAGTTGCCATTGAATTATAGTTGGAGAAAATTGATTAACAGAAGTTCCTAATTTCATTTAGGTTCAGTCAAGCATGTTCTAATTATTACATGAATGGTAGGTGAAAATGCGGCGGGGAGTTGAGACGCAGTTTGCCGATGATGAATTTTATGCTCAGCCCCTTGATTTAATGGGTAAATTCCTCCAAGGTCCCAATATTTCACAAGTGTGGTCATCATGTCCTCATCCTTCATTTGTACCATTTAAGCCCCCTACCTTTTTATATTATGCGTATGTATCCCATTTGTGGAAAACGTCTAAGTGGATGCCACACGACATGCATAGATATCTAAATGATTAGGTAAAATTAGGGTTAAACATGGTCCGGTTCGATTTTTTCGAGTATTTAGTAAATGGAAACGTTGGGTCTAAATTTAATTATGGAACCGTTCGGGTTCGGATCCATTTGGTTTGATTCGGTTCTGAGGTTTCGTATTATAATTAAATTTTTTAATATATACAAAATTACATTAATTTAATTAATGATACGTTCAATTTTAACTCTTACAAAATAACGTAGTTCAATCTTATACGTCATTTACGTCTCTCTTTGTTGAGTTCTTCATAAATTTGATTATTAAAATTACAATAAGAGAAAGATAGCGAGCTCAAAATAATTAATAGAGACGTTGTAGAACTTTAATTCGATTTTCTCCAATAGAAACGACACTACAGTAGAGTAACAGATTTGGATAAAATTGATATCAATTTGATTAAGTTGACTTTGAACTGAAAATTAGAAATAGGAAAATCATATTTTTTTTATTTGAACTAAATTAACTAGTTAACAAATTTATTTAGGAAAAATAAAATAATTTTACTTATTTAAAATAAATTAATTAAAAAAATTAGGAAGATTCAGTTCTTTAGGTCTTGACCTAGAATCGAGAACCAAATCATACCCGTCGGTTATCGATTCAAATACCCGTTCGGGTATTTAACTTGAGAAGAATCATCGGGTTCGATTTGATCGGTTCGGTTCAAGAGTTTTGTCCAACCCTAGGCAAAATAAAAGCAACATTTAATGTAAGTTAGTTACCGTTTGATTTTTGGTAAAATATTTTTTTTATGGACAATTTACCATTTGAGTCATTCATCATGTGCATATCTCTTGAACATTTAACGTCCAAATAGTTTTTGCGTCTTGTTCGTACAATATTGAAAGGTTATGGACATGATTGTAGAACATATGAAAAATTGGGACCTGGAGGAATTTCTACAAGGAAATCTTATTGTCGATAAATCAAGAGAAACTATTGATAAAGAAATTGCTTACGCCTATGACAATTCTGTCATAAACAACTATTACTCACAGAGCAATACTTGTTCAGTCAAACTCGCCTTTGATATCCCTCCATCATTATGGAGGTCCGATTTCAAGAAATGAAAGCATGATGCACATCAGAATTGCAAAGGCTCAACATGACATGTGCCTCTGTTATAAAATCCTTTTTTACAAGAATTATTGGATTCTTAAAAGATTAATTATACTCTTGGTGAATATCATCAAATTCAATATTCGGGTGCAAAAATAATTAATACTTTTATAGAATCATTGAATTGGAAATTTTGTGAAAAAACAAATTATTCAAAAGATATCGCAAGAGAATAATTTTTCAAATTGAAATATTGTTCCTATGACCTTGAATTCGTAAAGCGTGTTAGGAAACGCTTATGCTAAATTCTCAAATAATATTAAGAGCTTGTTTGATTTTCATTATTTTCAAAATACATTTCTTTCTTTTTTCTTTTTAACTACACATTTTTTAATAAAATAACATTATACGCATACTCAATTTTTCTCATTTTTTAACTATACATTCTTCATCAATCTACAATTATAAAATGTATTCTTAGCTAAAAAATGGTGCTCAAGCATGCGCTAAAATTGAAAGAGAAAAGAAAAATATAGTATAACTTGTAAAGACAAAAAGTTTTGTAACTTGTACGGATATAGGCGTTGTCATTTGACAGGAGGGAACGGGCAGGGCAAGTGCGTAGTGAAATGCTAAACCATGTTTATTGGAAAAATTTTGGTGTAGGTATCGTTTGGCTGACAATTTAATTGACGGTGAGGTAATCAACATTTTGTTGTTAAATTTAATAATATTTAAAAAATCAATGACACAAAATTTTATTTATCAATAAATGTCAATAAAATAATTAATAATCAACGTACAAATAACATAATCTCTATTGAAAAGTTCCGAGAAGCTGCGTAAAGAGCGGCGATAGGGTCAGTGAAGTCAAGCAAATAATGCCAAAGTTAGTACACATCTACTGCTGACATCTAGAAAGAAATAATTGATAACCTTTGACCACATTCTAAGACCACAATTTTATCTATCCATATGCCATCAATAGTTGAATTGAACCAAGGTTTTGCAGTGGCAGATAAATGACACGTGAGAACCACAATCGCAAACCATTCTTGGTGGAATTGGTTCGATCACAACTGTAGACCAAATTGATCAGAATAATTTAGCCAAGCTCTCTTAAGAGTTATAACACCATGTTAAAAGTGAAATTAAGGTCCCGTTTGAGAGTGATTTTTCATACTCAAAAAATTAATTTTTTGATCGTTATTTTACTATTTCATTCGTAATTTTTTACTTCTTATCTCACAGGTGGCCCCACTTTTCTCCTAACTGACAAAAGGACAATTCTAAAAATCAATTTATTTCACTATAAGTATGATGAATTAGGATTTTTCACTGCGGTTGGTCGCAACAATTTATTATGGATTTGTAAATAAATCATTAACTCGTCATGATGATATTTTTCTTTCGTATGTTGCATTTGCCATTTTCTTGTAAGACACATGGTCATTGTCTAAAGTTGCCCGTTTAATGATATTGTAAGTTTATGAGTAAAGCTCTTTTGATTAAAAGGTTCTTTACCCACTTACTAATTTTCTTTTGAAGTCTCTCGGTTGTTCTCCAATCTTAACCCTTTACGAACCTTTTAGTTCCATTAGCACTCCCAGTTTAACAACCGACAACATATTCTAATCAAAGTTTTAGTTGTATTTTGTCTAAAGGCCAAAACGGACGTCCATGTGACCTCTTCATGATAGATTCAACTCCATCCTATCTATAGTGGTGTCAATCTGGGTTGATCAGCCTCACCCATGAAAAGTTCAATGTCTAGCTATTAACGGGTGTGCGTATGTAGGGTTACCAAATAAAGACATCACTTTAAATGTTGAAAAGTGATTAGAGTAACCTCGCTACTTTCCTTTTGGAGTCTTTTGGTTGCTATCCAATCTTATCCCATATAAATATCAAATATGCATTTAGTATCATTACTATTTACTAATTCAATTTTAATAGCGTACATAATATCGTGTAAATGCTTTTAGTTATATTTTGTCGGCAGCCCGGAATTAAGCCCATGTGAAAGTTGATTTTTTTTTTTTTTTTTTTTTTTTTAAGAATGTTTGATTCATACTTGAGCATGGAAAAACGTGATTTTAAAAGAATCAATTTTAAACAAGGGGGTTTAGTTTGCCTAATGTCCACGTGATCTCTTTATGATTGACATTTAATAGTAATGATAGTACAATCCCACCCCAAAAATATAAAATTGGGTTAATGTGGGCCGGGCCGATGTTCGTATAGACAGGTTACAAAAGCCTGGATGGCATGGGCTTATCTCACATGAGTAAGTAGAACTTTATCCATCTCTTGATCAAAAGGGCGAGAATCCCCGTATAAATTTAAAAATGACATTATTCGCAAAGAAAAATTACCTTGATGGATCTGACATTTGGTAATCTGTAGTTGGTATTGGAACTAACACTAAAAAATCCATGGAATTGAGGATCCAAGATAACGACACAATTTTTGAGTTTTTAATTTTGATTTGGTCTTAAATGCTACATAATGTGTTTCGAAACTTCTATGTATAAAGAAGTAACTTTTGTCAATAAATTGTACACTACAGTAGAGATTTAATTTTATATAATAGAACAATATACGTTAATCTCTCTCTATATACATGTCTTAGAAGTGATATTACATGGCGCACCAATTAATGATGTGTCATGTCACCCGTACTTAATAGAAATTAAACATTGATACTCATGAGATCATTTCTTATACACATATATCAATTCTTATATTTTGTGGAATTGACATAGCACCCTATGCTATTCATTTGCTTAGGGATGGCAACAGGTGAGGGGATGGGGCAGATTTTTGTCCGATTTATTTATTTATTTATTTTATTTATTATTATTTTTTATATTTTCAAAATTTCCAGTTATTCTATTATTAGAGAATAAAATACAAATTTAAAATGGGTTTTTAACGGGTGAATTGTCTAGAAATAAAATTATCTTTAATTTTTTCTCTTCACGGGAGGGATTTTTTTGCCATCATTATATTTGCTATGTCTTATCTTAGATTTTAATATATATATTAACGATGAATATCACTATTTATAAAAAAAAATAAAGAATGAAAAATGATATAGACATATAGATAAAGAAAATCACGTAGCAATCTTAGAGTTTATTTTGTATCATGAAGAAATGATTTAACTATTGACAAGAGGTCCACAAAATTTATTTTAAAATTCCAGAAAGAAAAAAGTAAATGTTACTGATTTATAAAGTCTGAATCATGGTATGAAATAAGTCGACAAACCATAATGAATTAACTACGTAAATAAATATGTAGCATAAGAAATTATATATATATATATATATGACCCCCCAAAAAATGCGTCAATAGAATTCCGATGATGCCCCCTCCACATGAACATCACCTGCACATTTAACACACAGTTAGGAGGCAAAGGCCGTCAGTCGAAAAAAAGGTCCAGCAACTATTTACACTCCGACAATCAAGTCAATTGCTGGACGAGAAAAATTTGAGTGTGAAAGATGGAGGAGGATTTTGGCTAGAGTAAGAGAATGTATCTTAAAATGAAATGAATTCACATATATATAAGCCAAGTGCGCTAATGGGCTAAGTCCAAGCCCGATGGGATGGTCCAATATGAGATAATTTTATTGGTATAATAATAGTCCCCCAAGTATAAGTCGTACATTCATGTGTAAGTCGGGCTTCAAAATATAAGCTACCAAATAGGCAAAGTCTTACGGATTGCTTTAGAAATATGAGTAGCTCCAACAAACAAGGATTTACGAACTACCTCGAAAATATCCATCTGTCCCAAATAGGCAAGGACTTACAAATTGCCTCGAAAATATAAACCACTTTCAAGCGAGGATTTACGAACTACTTCAAAAAATATGTGTGCGAGCCTGAATAAGTGAGGGCTTATAGATTGCCTCGAAAGATATTGCATATAATTTGTCAAAATTTTGACGGCATCTCCTTCGTAATATGGACTAAACCAACCTGTAATACAACACAATATATCCATTGCACACATACCAAATAAATTTGGAGTTCACTTGCCTCTCAAATTACTCATAACGATAAAGTGAATGATAACATATCAAATTTCGCCAAGATATAATATGTAGAGTTAATCATGCATCATAGTAAATTATATGCTCACATAGCTCGGTGAATCTGTAGTGCTATAGTGAAGTAAGTAACATGATATCGATAATAAATTGAAAATGATGATAACGTAGTATACGTATTGTTTGTAATGAAAATAGTGTTATGATTTGCTAGCAATGATGTGACTTGCGTACTTGACAGTAATAATATAATGCATATGCTAGCAGTAATAATGTAATGATACTAAGATACTAATATCATAATAGTCTCCCAAGTTGAATATTTATATGCATGTCAAACTTGAAATATAAGCCACTGTGATTAAGTTAATGTCGAAACGAGACTGAATATATAAGCAGCTGTGATAAGCTGAAGTAGAGGCGACACTCTGAATGTAAGTAGTAGAGGTGATGCTCTGGATGTGAATAGCAGAAGCTATGCTCTGAATATATATACTTATGATAAGCTGACGTTCTTACATGGACGTGGGGCATCCATATCAATGGTTTTCTCTAGGGTGTTTGGTCCAACCATGAAAGAGATTAACGTCTAAGGTAGCAAGACTTGGCTCCTCGTGGAAGACATCACATTTGTTTTTGTTGAGTCCTTTTTTATTTATTTTTATTTTTATTTTTTATCTCCTTGCAAGGGGTTTATTCTTCTGTACAAGGACTTCCTCCATGGTATTTGATCCAACCATGGAAGGCTTCGTCTTCGTAGGTAATAAGGTGGGCCCACCCCTCTCCTTACAAAGCGATAAATGACATCCTTGCACGATGGATGGTTCATCCATACAAAGGATATTCTCTGAAAATAAATAGATATAATATGGCTTAAGCAGAAGCAAAACTCTAAAAGATAGGCAACTGTAATGCAGAGGTATAATGAGCTTTCTTGAATAGAAATGTAGCTATAATGCAATAGCTCATATGGTGAGGCATCTCGCGAAGTGGGGAATAAATATCAAGTTGGTGGCTTGTCTCAAACTATCAGAGACTTATAAACAGGCCTCGAATTGACAAGGCCTTATAGTTGGGCTCAACGATAGTGAAGGGTGAAGGATAATCATCTCGCGAAACCAGGAATAAGTATATGGCGAAACGGGGAATAAATATCTTGTTAATAGCTCTCGAACTATTGGAGTCTTATAAACAGCCTCCGATAGACGTAGGGATGGCAATCGGGCTCGCCGACTCGGACCACCTGTGGCTCGGCTCGAGGCTCGGTGGACCCGAGCCTAATTTTGGAGACACGGGCTTTGCCCGAGTCAGCCTGTGAGCTCGCGAGCTTTTTATTAAAAAATATATTAAAAATTGAGGCTTGAAGGCAGCAATTTTGCTGCCTTCAATTAAAGGCAGCGAATTGCTGCCTTAAAAGGCAGCCAAGATGCTACCTTTTAAGGCAGCAGTTTAGGAATTATAAAAAACAAAAAAAAAAAGAAAAAAGAAGGGAGAGAAAACGAGTCTGCCCCGGCTCGGCCCGAAAAAAGCCCTAGCAAAAGCTCGAGCCGAGCCTATTTTTTTTGCTCGGCCCGGTTCGAGCCCGTAAAAAAGCTCGATCATTTTAACCGGGCCGAGCCCGAGTCCGAGTCCGAACTAAACTTTAGGCTCGCGAGCCGGCTCGATCCGACTCGTTTACATCCCTAGATAGACGAGATATTATAGCTAAACCCAACGATGGTGAGAGGTGAGAAATAAACATCTCGCAAAGTTAAGAATAAGCATTTGGTGAGACGAAGAATAGACATCCCACGAAACCAGGAATAAACATCTGGCGAGGCTGGGAATAGACATTTTGCCTTTAGAAAGGAAATAAGAGAATTTTCCAGTGAATTGTTAGGCAAGCATCAACCACTAGGCCCGATCTTCGGTTGAACGTGAGTAGGATCCGATATTCATTCTTTACTTGAATAGGAAGGTGGTAGAATAGAGCTTACCTACGACTCCTGGCTTTCTCCGATGCATATTAGCTTAGTTATGCTTACGCGTGGATCCGAGGAGGGAGAGATGTATGGCAAATGGCACTGTCGGGATTTACACTTCAAGAGATCCCTATCCCGATTAGGGGCTTGTTGCGTAATTGCTTCTCCGTGAATAGCTCTCAAACTATCGAAATCTTATAGGCAGCCTCGGATAGATAAGGTCTTACAACTAAACTCGACGATAATGAGAAGTAAATAATAAACATCTCGTGAAGTCAGTAATAAACATCTAGCAAGGTGGGAAATAGACATCCAGGGAATAGCTGAATAAACATCCTGCTAATAAAGCCAGAAAATGCTCTTTTTTCAAGGGCAAATACGTTTGGCGATTTGCCTCTTCTTTTTTTCAAGGAATGAGGAATCCAAAATATACTGGCTCTTCCTTTCTTCAAGGAAAAAAGACTCCAAAATATCGCTTCTTCCTTTATTCAAGGAATGAAGACTCTAAGATGCAACCTTTCATAATAAGAAATACACGAGCTAGAGCTCGCCTTTGATAATAAGAAATTCACGAGCTAGCCTCGACGTAGGAGGACTTACGGGCTCGCTTTCAATAATAAGATTAGGCATTTAGTCATGCACTTGCAAAAATAATTCCTTTAGCACAAATTAAGTTGGTTGTCCATCCATGACATCATCAAGAATTACAGTAGCACAATTTCACATATCCTTCATAATTCATCATTTTGGAATTGATTTAATTTATATACAAATCAAATTAATGTGAACCCACGTAAGCAAACGCTACGGAACCCACGAACAAGATTGAAATCTTCCCAAAAAAGCCAAAGCAAGGTTTTAGATTAAATTCAATAGATTTGGAACCAAGCAATCCGAATCGCCGATGATGTGCGGACCTCTTGATTACACAAAAATACGGAACCTCACCCGGTTAATTTGAACGCCACAAGATTAAATCTTGATAAGTTTTTGAATTGTTCAATTATAGAACAAGAGTTGAAAGCAATATAGCCTCTCAAATTACGAATAATGTCAAAGGTTCTTACAATTGAAAATAAAATAGTATTTATACTATGTCTAAAAAACTAGGTAAAAACGTGCCTAATATTTCAAATATGGTAAGAAATCTACTAAGTATCAAATTCTATTAAAAAATAGGAAATTCATGAAAAAAATAAAAAAACACTTCAAATTTTAACCATGCGGTCGCATGGTGTAAAATCACGGCCGCATGGAACATTCAAAAATCCCGAATAATTCCCTGCCTCACTCCGTGCGACCGCAGGACAGTTCTAACCATGCGGTCACATGGTTCTTCTATCCAGCTCCATCTTCGGCTGCTTGTATCGTATTGATTCAATTGGTTTCGGCCTTCGACCCGAGCACGAAACTTGTCCCATTTTGAGTTATGAACATGATTTCATTGATGGTTATCTTGACGAGTAATCACATCGCCTCTTTCACTCGCTTTGTCCTCGTTCGTGTCATAGGTCCACCTTCAACTTTCAACGGATCTTTCCCCGAGCTTGACGTTGGATTTGATTTGGTTGCTTGCAGCTCCTGGATCACATCATCCCTTCTCTTTTTGAAAGAATTCGTCCTCAAATCGAACCTGCATCAAAGAGAGAAAGATCAGATAAATTAAAAGTTGCTGAAACGTTATATTCACCTGGAAGATCCAATTTGTATGCGTTGTCATTGATCTTCTCAACTACTTGGAACGGTCCATCTCCCAGTGGTAACAACTTTGATTTTCTTTGCTCTGGGAACCGCTCTTTTCTGAAGTGCACCCAAACCCAGTCTCCTAGTTCAAATGTGACAATTTTCCTGCCTTTATTTGCTTGCTCCGCATAGTGCTTGCTTTTCTTCTCAATTTGCTCCCGCACCTTTTTATGGAGTGACTTTACCAACTCGGCCTTCCTTTTTCCATCCAAACTACCTCGTTCATTAACAAACGAAGGTATTAAATCCATAGGTGTTATAGGATTAAAACCGTAAACAATTTCAAAAGGAGAAAACGACATAGTAGAGTGTGTGGCCCTATTATATGCAAATTCGATAAAAGGTAAGCACTCTTCCCAATTCTTCAAATTCTTATTAACTACAGTGCGCAAAAGTTGTGTCATAGTCATATTCACTACTTCGGTTTAGCCATCTGTTTGTGGATGACAAGTTGTAGAAAATAGTAGTTTCGTGCCTAACTTACTCCACAAGACTCTCCAAAAGTGACTAAGGAACTTAACATCCCTGTCTGACACTATAGTTTTAGGTACCCCATGCAAGCGCACAATTTCTTTAAAGAACAAATCTGCAATGTAGTGGCATCATCTGTTTTGTGACATGGAATGAAATGTGCCATTTTGCTAAACCTATCCACCACTACAAAAATTGAATCTCGCCCATTTTTAGTCCTAGGCAAACCTAACACAAAGTCCATTGAAATATCCACCCAAGGTTCACTAGGTACTGGCAAAAGTGTATACAGTCCATGAGGTAAGACCCTAGATTTGGCCTGTTTACATTTTATGCATCGACTACAAACCCTTTCTACATCAACTTTCATTTTAGGCCAATAGAAATATTTAATCAATATCTCTAAAGTCTTTGCTACTCCAAAGTGACCCATAAGTCCCCCACTATGTGCTTCCCTGACCAGTAGTTCATGCATAGAGCAACTTGGAACGCATAATTTACTCTCCTGAAACAAGTATCTTTCATGCTTAAAGAACTTATCTATAGCCCCCTTGTGACATGAATTGTAAATGTCGAAAAAATCAGAATCAGTAACATACATGTCCTTAATATACTCAAAACCAAGCAATTTTGCACTTAAAGTAGTTAGAAGCACTTACCTAAGTACCAATGCATCTGCTACTACATTTTCCTTACCTTGTTTGTAACAGATGACATATGGAAAAGTTTAGATAAATTCCATCCAGCGTGCATGTCGTTTGTTCAACTTACCTTGACCCCGCAAATGTTTCAGTGACTCATGATCTGAATGAATTACAAACTCTTTCGGCCATAGGTAATACTGTAATGTTTCCAAAGCTCGAACAAGTTAATAGAGTTCCTTGTCGTATGTAAGATAATTAAGAGCCGCACCACTTAGCTTTTCACTAAAGTATGCTATAGATCTCTTATCCTGCATTAAGACTGCTCTTATACCTATTCCTGATGCATCATACTCAATCTCAAAAGTTTTGTCAAAGTTAGGAAGTGCTAAAATCGGTGCTTTACACAAACAATCTTTGATAGTGCTGAATGCATGTTCTTGCTCTAACCTCCAATGAAATTTTACATTTTTCTTGACAATTTCAATTAAGAGTGTGGTAGTTGTGCTAAAATCTCTAACAAAACGCTTATAAAAACTAGTCAATCCATGAAAACTTTGAACCTCGGTTATGTTTTTAGGTGCTGGCCAATCCTTAATAACTTTTATTTTCTCTCCATCTAACTCTACACTGTTAGTACTAACCACAAAGCCTAAGAATACAACCCTATCTATGTAAGATGTACACTTTTTAAAATTGGCATAAAGTTGTTCCTTTTTTAAAATCACAAGCACAAATTTAGATGTTCCACATGTTCATCAAGACTCTTGCTATAGATTAAATTGTCGTCAAAATAAACTACAACAAATTTTCCAATGAAAGCACGCAAAACATGATTTATTAATTGCATAAAAGTGCTTGGTGCACTTGTGAGTCCAAACGGCATTACTAATCATTCATTCAAACCATATTTAGTTTTAAAGGCCATTTTCCATTCATCACCCACCCTCATGTGAATTTGATGATATCCACTTTTAAGGTCAATTTTACTAAACAAACATGCACCATGTAGCTCATCTAACATATCATCTAGCCTAGGAATTGGGTGACGATACTTTACTGTGATACTGTTGATGGTTCTGCAATCCACGCACATTCTCCAAGACCCATCTTTCTTTGGCACCAACAATACAGGTACTGCACATGGACTCATATTTTTCCTTACATATCACTTGCTCATCAATTCTTCAACTTACCTCTGAAGCTCCTTTGTCTCCTCTGGATTACAACGATAAGTCGGTGGGTTCGAAATGACAGCGCTAGGTATGAAATCAATCTGATGCTCAATTCCTCTAATGGGTGGTAACCTACTAGGCACGTCCTTCGAAAAATATATCGTCAAATTCTTGCAACAAAGAAATAGCCAAACTAGGGAGGGATGTATTATGCTCCTCAAAGTCGAGGAGTGACTCCTTGTAAACCAACAATATCATTTGTTGTCTCTCAACCATTGCCTTTTTCAACTCACTCCCTCTCACAAAGAGATTTTGTTTAGACTTTTCTCTCATCTCGGAAGACTCTCTTTCTTTTCTCTCATGTGGCCCCACTCTTTTTTCCCCTCTATTGGCCACCTCACTCATTTCTCTCTGTTTCTCTAACTCTTTCACTCTTGCTTCTTCTTCATTTTTCAGTTCAATTTGGTCCTCATATACTTGTGCCGGTGTTAATGGCGCAAAAGAGATAGACCTCCCATCTTTTATAAAACTGTACTTATTTCTGTACCCATCATGCATTGCTTTCCTATCGTACTGTCATGGCCTTCCCAACAAAATATGCCCCGTATGCATAGGTACAACGTCACACATACCTCATCCTGATATCTACCAATGGAAAAATTAATCAACACCCCTTTTGTCGCCTTGACCTCCCCACATTCATTCAGCCATTGTAACTTATAAGGTCTATGATATTTTAATAGTGTTAAGCCCAACATTTCCACCATGTTAGTGCTAGCTACATTAGTACAACTACCGCCATCAATTATTACACTACATACCTTGCCATTAACGTGACACCACGTGTGGAATATGTTTTATCGCTGTTGCTCCAAATCATCCGCCTTGATTTAAGCACTAAGAGCTCACCTCGTGACCAACAACCTACTGTTAACTGCATACTCAGTTGTATCTTCCTCATCAACATCTTCCAATCCTGGCATGTCTGCATATTCACTTTCACTTTCAGTTTCCACTTCCCCGCTGTCTCGTAGAATCATTGTCTTCTTGTTTGGGCATTGAGAAGCAATGTGTCTCACTCGCAAGCAACGAAAACATTTGATATCCCTGTTTCGTGATAGCTCTGACTCCCCCTTTGGTATAGACTTGCTAGCACCCTCTTCCTTGCTTCTTGGTACCCCAGCTCTTCCTCTTGCAGTAGTCTCATCTCCTTTGTTATTTTTCCACTTCGATTTCCAAGAAGGATTAGAACCCGAAGATCCAGATGGGTGCCTTGCTATTCCTTTTCGCTTCAACTGCCTTTCTACCTTCATCGCCACATGTAACATGTCTTCAATTTTCACATAGTGCAGTAATTTCATTGTATTTGCAATGTCTCTGTTCAATCCATGCAGAAATCGAGCCATGGTAGCTTCGCTATCCTCCTCCACATTTGCCCTGATCATTAGTGTCTCCATCTTCCTATGGTAATCTTCCACACTCCTGGAGCCTTAATATAAATTTTGCAATCTTTGATGAAGCTCCCGGTAGTAATGAGTAGGTACAAACCTCTTCCGCATGATAGTTTTCAATTCCTACCATGTATTGATAGGTCGCTCCCCACTTCTCCGCCTTAAAGTCACCACCTGATCTCACCAAATGATTACATAATCCTTGAATTCAAGAATTGCAATTTTCACCTACTTCTCCCCCTAGTAATTGTGGCAATCGAAGATTAACTCAATTTTCTTTTCCCAGTCCAAGTAGGCCTTCGGATCACTCCTACCTTTGAAGGAAGGAATGGTCATTTTAATTTACTCAAGTTTCCATCCACCTCATCTCCACCGAGATTCCTACCACTCCTTTCTGGTCTAACTCCTCTATTTCTACCCCTTCCAATATCCATATCCACTGTCGCATCCTCATCCAATCCACTATCAACCTCAAATTCACTAAGTTACTCCATCCTAGGTTCCCGCCTACCCTGTCTCCGTGCATTAAGACCACCTCTTCGAGTATTGGCAGGCAATGAATTTTGCCTTTCTCCCCGTGCATCCTGTCTATCCATCCGATCTCTCATTTTCTACACATAACCACTCAATCCTCCACATCGAGTCCTCTAGCATGGAAACCCGATAATCAACCCTTCCCGAATTTGATCCTTCCCTGTCAGACATCCTAAATCTAAATTATTTTCTACCTCACAAGTTTTCACTCGAAATTTCACTCAATACGGCTTTTTCCCTCTATTACTCTCACCACTCTGCCTTTTGTACTCGTTGCTTTCACCAAGTCTCCAAAAGAACAATTTCGAAACTCAATAAAAAAAAAATCACATGGAATTCAAACTGGTGTGAGTGAGACTACAATACCAAGGAATTTAGTTCTGACTGACAATTCGGACTAAACAATTAAAGACTGACTCAAAAACACGAAATAAGAAAAGAATTACTGACTGACTTTTAAATTAGACACAAAATAATAAATGGAACTAAAGAGAGTCGGTAAATTTTCCCCAAGATCAATAACAATAATAATAATAATAATAATAATAATAATAATTTTTTTTACTGCGTACGGATGAACAGTACCGTACAGATGAATAGTAAATTTTGTTTTAAACTCGAATTTTTCTAATGCATACGGATGAATAGTACCGTACATATGAACATTAATTTTTTTTTATTCTTGGGATTGAAAAATCAAAAGCAAGACTGACGCAACAAACGAAAGTTGATTTGGATGCAAATTGAATTCAAAAAACAACTTTTGAATTTTTTTTGTAATTTTTTTTGGATTAAAGACTCAAAAATAACAACTGACTCGAAAAACAATAAGAAAAATGAATAACTGACTCGACACGAATTAAAAGGGATATAACCTTGGATTGGAGCCAAGCACTGATACCAACTGATATGAACTCACGTAGGCAAAGGCTACGGAACCCACGAACAAGATTGAAATCTTCCCAAGAAAACCAAAGCAATGTTTTGGATTAAATTCAATAGATCTAGAACCAAGCAATCCGAATCGCCGACGATGTGCGGACCTCTTGATTACACAAAAATACGGAACCTCGCCCAGTTGATTTGAACGCCACAATATTAAATCTTGATAAGTTCTTGAATTGTTCAATTATAGAACAAGAGTTGAAAGCAATATAGCCTCTCAAATTACGAATAATGTCAAAGGTTCTTACAATTGAAAATAATATAGTATTTATACTAGGTCTAAAAAATTTGGTAAAAGCGTGCCTAATATTTCAAATATGGTAAGAAATCTACTAAGTATCAAATTCTATTAAAAATAAGAAATTCGCGAAAAAAATAAAAAAACGCATCAAATTTTAACCATGCGATCGCATGGTGTAAAATCATACGGCCACATGGAACATTCGAAAATCCTGAATAATTCTCTGCCACACTCCGTGCGATCGCAGGACGGTTTTAACCATGCGGTCGCATGGTGAAAAATCATGCGGCCGCATGGAACATTCGAAAATCCTGAATAATTCTCCGCCTCACTCCGTGCGACCGCAGGACGGTTTTAACCATGCGATCGCAAGGTTTTTCTCTCCAGCTCCATCTTCGACTGCTTGTATCGTGTTGATCCAATTGATTTCGGTCTTCAACCCAAACATGAAAATTGTCTCATTTTGAGTCCCGAACGTGATTTCATCGATGGTTGTCTTGATGAGTAATCTCATCGCCTCTTTCACTTGCTTTGTCCTCGCTCATGTCATAGTTCCACCTTCGACTTTCAACGGATCTTTCCCCGGGCTTGATGTTGGACTTGATTTGGTTGCT